CTTAATAGTTTATTGAAATGACGCCTCCTCTTAGACAAATTCGCAAAGCAGACGCATATACAATTTTGTCTTTTATCCACTACGTTATATATATATAAATGTGTACATACGTACAAAAAATCCCAATAGTAGGTAGATAGAAAAAGTGATTTGTTTTCATTTTATCGTCTATTTGAAGAATTCTAAATTTTACGGTCGCCAATTGTCTTCGTAAATTCCAATGAAAAGATTCTGTGAAAAAATAGGAAGGAATTTTAGTAGAATATTAGAAAATAAAATATGGAATATTCTACAACATTCCAAAATGCATTCTAGAACTCCAGTCTTATGAAATAACGCGCCGTGCAAAGTAAGTGATATATAAATAATAAGTAAAGTAGATAAATAAAAACTATTCTTGTAACATAATTGCTTTAGTAATATAAAATTTCCCCATATTTCTAGATATGAAAGTTTTGATTGTAATTCATCGCAGCATTTAGCGTACACAAAATTTAGAATTCTTCAATACTAAATAAACGATGAGAAGAGTTACTATTGGTGTTTTTTCATACAAACGCACTTCCAATGTTCCTGCCCAACGTGAATCCGATAGCTTAATTTTTGCGGCCAAGGGAATGTTTACAGCAATCATTATAGAGACCAACACACCGACATATTTAAGCCGATTCAGAATTTGGCACTAACCAACATATATATACATTCTTTGTGCGGTTTCTGAACTATTCTGAACTATTATTTGTTTTGCTCTTCTATCATCTAGATGTTTACGCGTAGGTTGCGCAAATAATCATGTGTTAGTATTAGGTTTGTGACGTGATTCGTTCAGGTTCCCAGACTAAATTCGAAAATAGGTGCAATTTAGAAATTAATCGGTAGATGTGCGTATTTGTTCCCAAAAACAAGCCCAAACTTCTTGCAATTTAAACAATTGAGAGAGAAAGGTTAAATTTTGTACAAATGTTTGTAAGCTATATCCGGAAATCAACAAAAATAGACAACATATCAATAGTTTCTATCAAACTAGGCTCGCGGAAAATCGTTTTATTTTAACAAAAAGGTAAATTTCTATTTGGAATGCAGAGAAAAGGTTTTTTTAAATATAAACTTTTTCTGATAAATAGAATACAACTTGTGCACAGTAGTATTTTACTTTTTTTTTCTGTTTCGAAATTTTTATTTAAAATTAACTTTTCCTAACTGTTTCAAATAAAATTTGGAGTGAGAGTAACGATAAATCGTACACGCTTCAATAATCTACGAACTATTCAGATTTTTCATTAAAATTCACGCTTGCGATAAGATTTCTTCGTTTGCGGTTCTTCTTATTTAAGTTTTGGTAAGCCATTATTCAAATATCAATAAGACATTTGATCATTCGTGTGTACGAAGAAAATATGTAGACTCAGCCGCTCAATAAACAAATACGGCCTCTTATGCTAAAACTAGCGAACGCTCCACTACAAGCGATATATGCATCATACATAGTTAGTCTTTAGGGAAATCACTGCAAAATGTATGCCTTGGCGAAAACGACAGAGAGAAACCGAAATGTTCGTCTCATTGCAATGTCGAGAGTTTTCAAAATATCTTTGCAAATTTTTTATGCTTCACAAAATCTAGAAGATTAAATTGATTGTCATTTTTATTATCCGCCTGACGATCCAAGTTGGTATTCATGTAAAATATTTAAAAAAACGAGACCATGAATGGGGGAAGTTTTGAAGAGTGTAAGTGCAGTCTGTAAAGAAGTATTACTTTTATCCATGTTGATTATGGGATGCTCCAGCAACCCCAATGTAATAATGTTGTAAAAGAGGTTTGTTTATTTTTCACATGTTTACAAATAGTACCAATGAAATGCTATTCAATTATATATTATATATTCTTCTATATAAATTTTAGATTTTCTAACAAAAGGGGGCACATTCAAAATAAAAATTCTAATGCTTTTCTATGGGTATTCAGTATAAATTCTTCATTTATTTAAAATGGAATATTTCAGTAAAAATTTCCGATAGTTATTGAAACAAAAAATTGTATAAAATAATTCGTTCAGGTAGATTCTTATCGCTAGTTTTATTTTATTTCCCCCAAGCGACCGTCAAGGAAAAAGAATCGGAAACCATTAAAAAGAATAACAATTTCTTTTATATATATACATATATTTTTATATATATTAATAAAGTATATTAAATGTATAATAAAGCTATTAAATTCTAAAATTCAGGAAATCCATGATCCACCATGTGTTTTCGTTCGGCCAGTATTACCACAAATTCGAGTCTTTGTTATACTTGATATTTCGTGACATAAGTTTATTAATTTGGTCCGAAGTAATTGGATGATCATACATGCGTGTATTCATAGCAGAGCAAAATAAAAGCGGTTTTTCAAATCCCAAGCGCGTACTACACACATTATCGCATAATCCCTGAAATGGTATTAAAGAAGATATTAAAAGAAAGATATTACATGAAAGGAATTGAATGCAATAGTTTACAAACCATTGATAATAAATCGGCCCATTTTGCTAACTCAATATGCACTACTGGAGCACCGCGTTTATTTCAGGTTTTCCATTCCATCTCATCATCCAATATTCTGCACTTTGCGGCATGCTAACCAAATCTAAGAAATGTTTCGCATGTTCCGTCAAAATCACTTTAATCTGAAAAAAGCATAAAAAAAATTTATTAGATATTGATATGCGCTTCATGAAAAACTTACATTAAATCTGAAATCCAGGTTAGGATCCTGCAATTTTTCTATTAAAACTGGCAATTCTGTGGGAGGTAGTGACCATTTTGAATTGATCCTGAAAATTGGTGTACAATGCACAAAGCCAGAAAAACAATTCTTAAGGAGGGCTCTTTAATTGATAGAGCCCGTATAGATGACCAATTTAAAACCTCAACGGCAACTCAAAGCCTTGGTTCGACAAGTTTTGCCCTTGACCTTTCCTCCAAACCGTAAACCGATAAAAAGATGACTTAAAGAATCTCATATTCCCTGGTGCCTTTAGAGAATAAGCGTATATGTGTTCTCAATAATTTGTAAAAATGCCAACCATGTGAGAATAAGCGTATATGTTTGTTTGCACTTCTCAATAATGGAACATATATTTGTATAATCTATGGTGCCTTTAAAGAATAAGCAATTATATTTATATTGCTGCCAAGTTTACATCTTTATATTTCCCCTTGAAAGCAAGAACTGTATATGCTTCTGCTTTGCAAACGATTGAAAGGATTCCACGATATTTCAAGAAACTGTTAACAGAATCTTCCCCCTTATAAATAATGAAAGTGAAAAAGCAAGCAGCCTAATGGCTGTTAATGAACAGCGTTACTGCTTTTGTTGATAACAAAAACAAAGAAAGTCTGCATTAATCTCCTAGTTTGAAATTGAAAACAAATCTTGGACCATTTAGTTGCCATAGCGTAAAAATAGTACTTGCAAATGAAAAAGTCACAATTTTATTCAAAACCCGAGGCTATTATCTCTCTCCTAGAAAAACGCTGAATTATATTCACGCATTCAATAACATTAGAATGCACAGAAATTATATCTGCATTAAGGCAAATCCTAAATCCATACGAAATCGTTTAAAGTTATTTCATGCCCACGATAAGCCTTAGCTGCGAAAAGTAAAATAAACGAAATTATTATAAGCACACAAACAATACAAAGCAAGGTACTCTACAACAATATTACTTTACATATCTTTTATGCAGTAATCCTTATCTTATTTCTACAAGGCAAACTTAATTAAATTTGATTTTCCAGAGAAACGTTTCAAAAATTGTTACTCACAAGTAACGACGTTATATCATTACGTAACACTATTTGCGAAAATATTGTTGTAATTGTTGTCAATAACTTCAAAAGTGTATTGAAGAAAAATTGCTTTTTGTTTATTGCTCAACGATTTCTAAAAAAAATGTCTTGAGAATAAGATTTTTTGAATAATTGATAAAGGCAAAATTTGAAACAATAGTGTATTAATGTCTGTATAATTAAACTTGGCTGCTTATTAATTAATTAAGTATGTACAAACCAACCGATAGACCGTTTTATTTCGAATTATAACCCTCCCTAATAGATAGCATGTGCTCTACGATGGAGTATAAAATGGCTTTTACGCCCAAGGCTGTCCTAATGTCGATTTAATTACAAAATAATTAAATTAATTATCTAATGAATAACACTATGAATAATAACGAAAGTTTATAAGTTTATGCTGAAAAGTACAAACCACGCGGAAACCGAAAAATTGTATCATTGCGTTTGCTGTCATTAATTTCAGCGTTTACAAAATCGTCAGCGTGGTTTTCGGGTGCGATAAATAACCGAGTGAAGTAAGTAATTGCAACGAGATTACACCATATTCAATAATTCCCTTTCAATTAAATATCCGTAAGAAAGAGAACAATTCGACGAATTTGCTCTTTGCTGTGATTTAAAACGCTGCTACTACTCATGGTAATGGTAATTTATGATTCCAACAAACTTTTTAATAACATTTTTTGACCTATTCAATATCCAATAATTTCAACAAAGCCTGATCGAAGGTGAAATGGCATAGCTAAGTCCATCGAAAATCTCGCTACGAGCACTGCTAGGGGTTACCATCAACATTTGCCATATTGGCCTGAAGGCGAATTATCTCCACGCAGAAACATAATTTCTTGGATTATAGGCTACTTGTACTGCATTAGGCTAAATATATTTTTCACTTTATTTATTGGAAGTTGTTTTTGTATGATAAACACACACTTGGATCCGTAGAAAATTTGTGGAGGTAAAGCAATAGATCAAAATTAGAGAGTGAAATTATCTCACCTGAACATCAAAACCATTGCCAGTTTACTCCTTAAGTATCTAACCGCGGCACAATTTCGAGCTTAATGTTCAAAGTTTGTCAAATGATTTAAAATATTACAATAACGTCATAAAATACTAAATTTTCAACTTTAATATTTCTTTTTTCTCTACAGATGGAAATCCGGTGTGGCTGCCTCATTAAATTATGTGGACTTAGATTCTGAAGGACAATCACCTAAACTAAAGCCTTATCCCAGCTGGGAGTCTAATAACATACCCCCTACTGGTTATAAGGAAAGCCTTCTTAGGGATAATTCAACAGTCATTTCTCCATTTCGAGTACAAGCCGATGCCTGCGATCGTCTCTGGGTCCTTGATACAGGTGTGACTGATCTTCTGGGTGATACTAAACAGATAGCACCTAATTCTATTATCATATTTGATTTGAAAACGGATAAGCTGATTAGACGTTATGAATTACCCAAGAACCAAGTGAAAGATGAGAGTTTTCTAGCTAACATAGTATGTTGTGTATTTGCCCTTTCTAGTTTATATCATTGTTTTTGTTCTTTTAGGTTGTCGACTCTGAACGCTCCGAATGTGATAATGCTTACGCTTATTTGCCTGATTTAGGTGCTTATACCCTTGTAGTTTATTCTTTCCACGACAATCGCTCGTATCGCATCGCTCACCATTACTTCCACTTCGATCCTTTACAAGGTGACTTCAACGTAGGTGGTGTTAACTTCCAATGGACTGACGGCATTTTCGGAATGACAATTGGACCAATCAATCCCGACCATAGCAAGGATATTTACTTCCATCCTTTGGCCAGCACGAAAGAGTTCAAAGTGTCAGATTACGTTCTACGCAATGAGTCATACGTTATCAGCAAGGACGCCTTTTTTGAATTTAAATTGGTAGGCGATAGGGGAATGAATGGTCAATCAACTGCCGAGGTTTATGATAAAGAAACAGGAGTCATTTTCTACACCCAAGTCAATAAAGACGCCATTGCTTGCTGGAATGTTAAGCGCCCTTACAATCCCGACACTCAAGGTTTAGTTGATTCCAATTCGCAGACTTTGATTTTTCCCAATGATATGAAAATTGACGCAGAAGGTAATCTTTGGGTGTTGTCAGATAAAATGCCTACATACATTTACGAAACTCTAGATCCAGAAAACATAAATTTCCGTGTATTTACGGGCAAGATCCGTGACCTAATAAAGGGTACGAAATGTGAAGTGTAAGCCATGAATTTTTTGGGTTTGTCTAATCCCCCTTTGTACACATATAAGCATGCATTTTAGCTTTTTTTTTGATTACCTTTTAAAAGAACTTCAATAAACAATAAAAACTTGCGAAAAGCGCATAATAATTATTTCTTATATTCACATACGAATCATTGCCGCACATTTTCTTGCTTGTCTTTAATGTTCCTTATAAAAACTAATTCTTAACTTTTCAACTTCTGTGACCGCACCTACTTGTATTTCAAGTGATTTTTGTCCTAAATGAAACTAAAAGACTTACTTTTAAAACGAAATCTTCTACAGCTAATCTTGGACCAGCAGATTATTTAGAATAGAGACGAAATGGTTATTCATTTATCTTATTACCATTTGACAATTCGCAACTTTTACATACTCGGCCATTGTATTACTACCAAGTAAAATTACTTTTTTCTCTCGCGTTTTTTTGACACAAATAATCGAAAAAGTAAAACGAAACTGGGAAAGATGATATCAAGAACATTAAAAAGTTAGACAAACTTGCCGTACCCATAGGGAACCCTGTTTCCTCCTTTTAAGCACATAGGGTCTTCTTGTGCTATTATTATCAATTCAAAGTACATTTAGTTTTTTATCATCTTTTGTCCAGATGATAGCCTTAGAGAACTGGGAGTTATTCAGTATTTTGAATAGATAATTCGATGATAGATCATTGGATACACTAGCAAACATATCCGCTGTGAGCAAAAATAAGCGTTTCACTCCAGGCTTGTACTCAATTTTTGATTCTGACTTCTGAAAAACTGCTTGCAGCGTACCTTACCTCTTTTGGTAACTATTAAATGTATATTTCGAGTTTATCCAGACAAAGCGACATTTATTGAATTTTGTCTCAGCGTTGTATTGTATTTGTGTGACAAAGGGTGATGCTTTGCTGTACAGCCATCGATTCCGCTCTGTTTATTGGAGAAACATTTACGTCGATTTGTATTCAAGCACCGACAACGCAATTTTTTTGTCTTTCACCATTTCCAGTTGGCACCCAAAATTTAAAGATTGGAACCCAACACAATTTTAGATTTTAAGAGCCTCACTTTTGCGCGAGAAACAAGCCGTTCTGTTCATGTTGCTTTGCTGATAATGATTTACCGATGCGTTCTTCTTATACTTTGCAGAGAACGCGACGTGACGCACTGCGGTCACTGAATACTTCCATAATTCCTTTACATGCATAGCCAAATTTTATAACTTATTGACCAAAGTTTTCACTAGCATTAGCTTTGATCAGATACAAATTTCTCTTCATCTTCTCTTATTGGGTGTTGGGTGCTTAACATAACATAGGCTAATTTATTGATTTGCCTTGATTTTAAAGATTTGCTGAGCTCGACGGAACAATAACACAATTTTGTTAGCCGAGTTTCCATTCCACGAACTGCACTCGGTATACATCAAGGCAATATATATATGTAAAACAAGGTATTTCGCTAACAACATTTGCGCAAGAAAATCATCGTGTCGCATGCAAATCTTTACCTGTGTGCAATTTATAGGTGTGCTTCAAGTATATTGCCCCGAACGTTGTGTTAACCAAGCTCTCTCTAATGCATTCATTTTTGAATGAACCCATTTTTAGGCAGATAACATATTTTCATAACTGGAATAAAATTTAAACAATTGTAACTTTCCGTGGGCATGGCCGATTTGTTCGATTTTTGCATGTAAAGAGTAGAGTGTTTCGTAAAGACAATGTGGAATTTGAACCTTAGAATCTGTATAATTTCTGAGTAACGAGCAAAAACCCACAAATAAACGATGTTGAGCTCAGTTTATGCTTCACGGCGGGCTTCCGCTCTGATCAGCATTCATCCATGTAAGCTCTTAGTGAACGATAAAAATAAAAATTTTCCAGAATCCCAATTGTTTAATTCATTTGAAAATTTCTAGAAATTTCAATATCATTTCTAGAAAATGGAAGATTCCAGCGCATGAACAAATCTTCGCTAATATAAGGAATCTGATTCAATATCTAAAATGTCCGAATGTTCATAATTTCAATATCATCGATGCCCAATAGTTTTTAATGTACAAGAATAATAGAAGGCTCACTAATTTCATATAATAAATACAATAAAGGAAGAGATGGAAATGCAGTAAATAATAATAGTTTAATTCCTGCTCAACGTTAATAACCCAATTGCTAATATAGCATAGATTATTCCTAATGCCCAAAAGGTTTCCTTTTTTTCAGATTCTTGACTAATAGTCCGAGAAATTATTCCAAATCCAGGAAGAATTAAGATATATACATGAGGTTGATAGAAAAATCAAAATAAGATCTCCTTCTCAAGTAAAATCAAAAATATATGTATTTATATTTTGATCTGTTAATAATATAGTAATAGCTCCAGGCAAGGATAATAGTAATAAGAAAGCAGTAATTACAACTGCTCAATCAAATAAGAAATAATCAAAAAATTCCAGTAGCTCGTATATTTTACAGTGTTATTTGTTCGAGGAAAGCCTATATCAGAGGCTCCTAATAATAAGGGGACATTGCTATAAAGAAGATTTTATTATTATTATTATTATTATAAATTTAGCCAGAGAATAAATTCTAAGACTAAAGTCTTAAAGCACTAGCATCTAAGACTTTCGGCTTTTATTAAAAACTCTACCGCACTTGAGATTTGAACCCACGACGATGAGTTGCTAGTCGAGACTCTTGCCTACTCGGCCACTCAGGCAGATTAAAGAAAATTTTAATAAAAGCCTATGCTGTTAAAATTACGTTATAAATTTGATCATTTCCAACCAATAGTCCTGGATAACCTCATTCTGCTCATCTAAAGTCCTTAATGAAGTTTTAATTATTCCAGATCAGTTAAATTAGTTAAATTTCTGAAGTTTAGGTAATAAATTGTAAATTTATTTAGAAGAATTAGCCTTTTTAATCGAACTTTCTAGTCAATAATGACATTAAACTGCAATTCTAAAGGTGTAATAATTACTAAAGCTTACAAGATTATTCTTGCATTTACATTTTTGAAGGCTATTAGTTTGTTTAACTTAAAAGTAAAAAGAGCATATCCTATGTTGCTTCCTTAAGTAAGTTTTGCAGTATTCTTACTGCCCAGTATATATAATTAAATAAGATATACCTTCAACAACAGCATTCCACAAAAACTTACTTAGTAACTGCAACTTTTCTTCCAAAGTATCTTTGAAAATCCAATTGTTCTATGACATCATCCCTAATTAAAGGCGCAGAAGCAGAATACTTCGCCGCTCGATCAGCCTGCTCATTTCCCAACACACTGATATGACTAGGTACCCATAACATTTTAGTTTTTTCGCCGGGTGTTGTAATGATATACCTTAATTTGTTGATGGTGCTCCATCTCGAAGTCGAAGGATTCCGTATAGCTTTGAATATAGACAAACTGTAAATAATGATGACTTTTTAAGAATTTAATTCGTTTAATTTAATTTCGTTTAATTTTTCGATTCGCTGTATACTGCTGTATTCGGACACCAATAAACTATTAGAACCGTCTTAGAAAGCGGTTTTAAAATTTTATTTCGTTGATTATTACTTTTCGACGGAATCAGAGGCCCTTAACTAAATAGGTTTCTTTGCAGAGAGAGAAATACTTATACTAAAATATATAAATGTAGATAGATCTTAGATAGATATAAATGGATCAAGTGCGAAATGCAGTTTAATGTATTGATTATGCGTGCTTATGTTTATAATAGAGATTTATAAAATTATATTTTTATTATATTTATATTTATATTATATATGGATGTACATGTATATATATTTATGTAAACCAATATCAACTGGCGGCACACACACTTTTGACAGTTTCTAATAATTTTAATATAATGTTGAGAAGATGGAAGATTTTATTGCATGAACAAATGTTCGCTATATAGCTATATTCCTTCGTTCTATTTATATTGGGAATCTGTTAAAATGCTGGGAAACCGGCACATGTCATATATCGGCATCAAAATATGAATTTTGAGAAATTTAGAAAAAAAAGCTGAAACTACAATCAATTGTAACACTAATAAGGCCATTACTAGCGGATGGGATTCTTTGGTGGCTTATATACAAAACTTTTATATTCATCCGAATCATATCATAATAAAAGAGACACAAAAAAAAAAAGCAATGGAAATTACACAACATGGATACGAGGAAAATGGAAATAAAATGCTTAGATCATCATGATTCAAAAGTGTTTTTCTTATTGCATCGAAAAACCCCGGATGTTGTACCAAACCGAAAAATAATCCCAGGAAGTTGTGTTAAAGTGAAATGAAACTGAAAAATAATTCCATGAAGTTGTACCAAACCGAACAATAACCCCGGACGTTGTGTCAAACTGAAATAAAGCTGAAAAATAGTCCCAGGAAGTTGTGTTCAACTGAAATGAAACTGAAAAATACTTTTGATGTGGTATGTAACGAAGTCGAAGAATCTTTTAAATTATAGAAACGTGACATTTTGGATGTAATAAAAATTATTGAAAGAGTCCAAGAGCGTTGTTCACCGATTTACATAATGGATTTAGTTGTGGGTTGAAAGAATTCGTTCGAATTCATTTAATGTTCTTTATTTTATTATCTTAGAGGAGCAGGATTGTCTAGCGGTATTATCGCGTACCCTCGAAATTCTTCATCGAGGCTAAGTTTGGTTTGCAATATAGTAAAGAGGTCATATGCTTATTTGAGAACTTTGTTTCGGACTATATTTAAAATAACGTTTCCCCACACAACAATCTATGCAAAGCAATTGCCATTTCTTACATTTACCGACAATAATCGTCAAAGCATACGAATGAATTCATTTAATTTATCTCCTTAAAAGTAAGAAAAGGAGCTATGCCCTTGGCAATAATCGTGTACGCCAAACACAAATCATCGAAAAGCTATACATGTCAAATAACTGGCTTAGACCACACATTACTCAATTAAAGTTAATTGTCTGAAGAATTTTTCAAGAATAAGAATTATGAAATTGTGTATGTTGAAAATAACCATTTGTCGTTCAAATCCTTTTCTGTTAGGAGTAATGATAGATTATTATCCGCCTCATCTGTTGGCATTTCGAAAAGGTCCTCATCATTAAATTCGTTCAAATCATCATTGGGCTCAAGTTTATTAGAAAAAGGAATCGATTGAATCATAACGTTTTCTATGGAATGTCCTACATTATCGTTTTCTAAAAAAACAAGAGAAGAAGACGCGAATATGTAATAAAAAAAGCGAGGAAGCGAGGTTCTGTGAAGTTTTATGATTTTAATTGCAAAAAAAAATGTCAACGTTTATTCTTCAATTTTTTATCTTTTTTTCTGGGCTTTTCAATTATTTTTATTTATCTGTATTTAATTTTTTTGCAACTTGCTCACTCACTCACACAAATTTCTTCTTATCAAATTTCTTTATGTTTTCACAAAAAGCCGTTCGCAAGCTTAAAAAAATGAAAACATGTGTTGAGACTAGAGAGAGAACAGAATTGCCTTCAACATGTGGCAGCGGCGTCAAGCGTTAAATTAATCAATCATAAACACGAATACAATGACTCTTTAGTGATAAAGAAAACAAAAACATTAACAATAAATTTATATAAACACTTCCGCTCATAATGCAAGTCGAAGAAGTCTTTCAAAATCTGCCACTGATGGCAGCATGAAACAAAAGTTAAAAAAAAAAAAAAGAGCCAAGAGACGCAATGTGTTTCTTAAAAAGAAAGACAAATCAAATAAATAATTAAATAAATACTTTTTCCAAGGCACGTACACATATTGAACCCAGAGAATTATTGCAATTTTGTAATTCCACAAATATATTAACACTGCAGTGAAGACCCTCCGCGCAGAGGACAAAGTTCACATTTGCCAACCGGCCGCTGACTGCAATGGTTCTGCGATGATTAAAATTAGTTCTTTTCATGCTTTGCATACGAAATCCGCTTAACGATCGAGCGCCCAATCGATCGTTCGATGTTCAATTTAATTTTTGGCACATTATTTATAACGTTACGTTTAACAAATCTATTAAAAGATGTTGCAGGTAATCGGAAATGACTTTGCCGTAGTGGCGTTATGCTAATGATAAATATCAAAGTAATAAAACGAGGAGAGAAATTAAAATAAAAAGAAAAAAACAAAACTCAACATAAAAAAAAGAGAAGAAAAAAAACACGCCGCGAACTACTGTAAGACATTAAGGAAGTTGTTGCAAACGATTAACAGACCGATTAACGACTGACTATGTGACTGACTGAATGCGTGCCCCTTTGGGTAGGAAACGAAAAAACGAACGAATCAACGAACCAACGAATACATAGTAAATACAATGAAATAAAATAAATGCGCGATTGAATGATTGACTGACTGACTGCTGCACTGAACAAGTTACTGAATGAGTAAATGATTGGATGGTGGGGCAAATCGCTTGCCGAGCTAATAATGAGTGACATGTCTAGTCTCTAGAATTACAATTCAACTAATGTTCTACTCAATTCTAATCTACACCTCATATGAACACATATATACATATATATATACAATTATGTTCAAAATAATAGCGGAATAAGAATAATAAGAAGACTGACTGCTTATGTCATTCTTCCTTCGTTTATCATGCAAGTTATTCTCTCTTCCACATGATTCGTTTTCCACCTATCACGCTTATTATATTAATAATCGCGACGCCACATTGCGTAAATATTACATAAGAATAGGAGGGGTAAAGACATCAAAGGTACACATAATCTTCACCAGCGTAAGATGTCAAGATGTTTAGTGAAACTTGGCCCATTTAATTTTAGTTGGAGATCACCAATCACGTTTCAGAAGCAGAAAATATACCACGCAGTGCTGTGCCATTCGGCAGACACTTTTGCAGGAAGCTTCTATTATCTTGTTGAAAAGACAATAAAGCAAGCAAGTCCACAACAGAGTTAGTTATCGAACGGACTCCCCGCCAAGCTACTTATGAGTAGGTACTTTTCTAAAGTTACATGTACTGTTTTCGGTACACGCTAAAAAAATACTTTCATAAAATACTTTTTTATGTTTATGAGAGAAAATATATATTTTTCGTCGGCGTATGTACCATTATCGGTACATGTATCATACACTGTAAAGAATTGGATAAGGCAGTAATAATGTGATAATTATTTAGAGCCCAATCAGCAGTCAATAATGGAATTTTTGGACATTCAACAGATATGACAGACTGCTGTGAACGCACATTGTACATATGTATGACACCCTTTTTTTCGGCTACCATCACCTTATTTGGGTCGTCGGGATGCCACTTTACCGACATACCAGCCGATGACAAACAAAATGTAATGATGTTATCATAGTTTGATTCAAAACACCAGATTTTGCACGAATTGTCATCACTTACTAATTCCAAAAATTCGCATTTATTACTCCAGCTAATCTCGTTAACATAGTTGGTATGACCTTTTAATGTTTGTACTGTGTCTGAATTTTGAAGATCTGTACGAAATATTCGAAGCAAGAAATCTGAGCCTGCTGCACAGAATGTTACATTTTTTGGTATAATCATAAGTGAAGTATCGGGGGTAAAACACAAAGCATGGCAACGGGTTTCATGGTAAATATCTTTTACTTTCTCCCAAAAAAATGATTCACTTTCCGTTTCTTCCTGTTTAAAGGAAAAGAGATAAACAATTTGCCTCTGAAAAACAATCCTATGTCATAGTTACCGGGAAGCGCACAAAGCTTAATATAAAATTTTCATGTGCTGCAATGCACAGAAAGAAAAAATGTATATGTATCAAATGTATCAAAAATTTTTGGATTTCACATAAAGCATTAGTTTTCACAAACAGGTAATTCTGCTAACCGGTCATGTCCCACAAATACCGTCTACAAACCGCTGATAACAAAAATTACGTAAATTATGATAATTATGCTAAAAATGAAGTAGTATTGGAAGTTTAAAGGAGAGTTGGAAGCAATTTTAGAATACACTCGACTAGCTGGCGTGGCTATATATGAGTCCAAAACCTGGTTCTGTAAAATTTTAAATGCTAAATAAATATTCAGATTAATATATAATATAATTCTTCCATTAAAGATAATTTGAATATCTAGAAAAAGAGTTTTTTTTCATTTTTTCAGTTGGTAACTTTTTTATGCACAGCCGGTTGCCAAACTTTACTAATCGTATTGGTATAGGTTTTTTTGGTACAGTTTTTTTGGTATAAGTTATGTGGAAAGAGGTTTCTTTCATTTTTTTGAAATAGGGTAAAGAATTATCATTTTTTTGAAAACAGGGTAAAGAATTATCATTTTTTTTGAAAATAGGGTAAAGAATTATCATTTTTTAGAAAATAGGGTAAAGAATTATCATTTTTTTGAAAATAGTGTAAAGAATTATCATTTATTAGAATTTATTTCTGTGATAAATTAATTATGATAATGATAAATATATAAATTCCTGAAATATATCAATAGCATTTTAAACCTTTGCCATGAAGAAAAAGCAAAATAAAATTATTCATTGTTCATAGTTTTCTGGTTAAAGTGTAGAGTTTCCCGTCAAAATGCATGGAATTGCATGCTTCTCTGTTAACAATGCATGGTTTTCTACTAAAGTGCATTTACATTTAAATGGGGAAAAATGATTTACTGTAAAGACTTTCTTGTGTGCAAACATGGTTAAGATATAGTTTTTTTATTCATCACATACTTATACATCTCATACTTTATTCATGATATATCAATCATCTTTCCACTTGCGCTGAAAGTTCTATAACTGTGCAAATATCAAATACGGTGATCAATATTTATGCTTATTTTAAAGCTGTTCTGACTCACCAATGAACTCGAATTTTCATTTCCTTAGTGATTAATTTTTGTTTGACCAAAATTCTAATAACTGATACATCAAAAAATTTTATAACGTGACAATTACGCTGGGCTTCACATTCGAATTGTCGTCAACGAGCCGGAAAAGCGTGTAATGAACGCTCGTTTTTATCGGTTACTACCCTGTGAGAAATAAAACAGCGAATAAGATTTTTACCAAATTTATTTGCTAAGAATTATGTAAAAGTAATTCAATTTCGGGTAAAGTTAGACAATCCAATCAAGTTTTTATATTTGACCTGTTTTTTGCCAATTTGCTCCATCATTGCCTTTGAAAATTGGACGAATCTTTTCAGCATCACGAAGTTCGGCGGTTTTAGCAAAGTTTTTGTAAGCAAACTTCTCTAATCCTTTCGCTGCGCGGTCTGCAATTGCTTGCGCGAAATATGCTATAAAACTGGATCTACCACTTCTGTTAAATTATTATCAACATTATGAGCATCTAAATAAAGTATTCCCTTTTTCTCCATATCATCCAAAACAGACCTATTGCAAAGTAAAGTTATATAAAACGCCACTAAAGTTTATAAGGTATTTACTTGCCTCTAATTTCGCAATCAGACGAGGTACAACAAGGTTTCCCTTTCCAGCCAACAACGAGGCGTTACTCCGTTTTTATGGGATAATTACCTGTCGTTAATACAATACCAAAACTCAAAAGTGCACATATCACCAATGGAATATTAACCAATGATCTAAAAATAATAGCGCGTCACTTATGCAGTCTTTGATAAAAAGAAGCAATATTTTCCTTACCCCTGTTCTACGTAACACACCAGCAAATTCTAGTTTGCGCTTTGAATAGGGTTCTGGCCTTTACTTGTTGCAGCATTAAATCAATCGTAGTTGTTTGGCCACTCGCATATTTTTTATAAAATTTATAAGATGGAAAGTTATATCCAGTAGAAAAAGACTGTATACGGAGAAAGATTACTGTTTAATTGTAAGAAGATAATGTGTAAGTAAGGTAGTTTTTATTGCATTTTTTAAATTGACTAAGCCAACAATTATATTATTTCTTGAAACAATAGATCTACGCCTTTTTGGATTCGTGTTGACTCCGCCGCTGCAATGATGACCCAAGTATATCTTTGATGTATTACAAATTATAATAATATGCTGGCTACTTATGTCCCGGCGTACAAATTTAAAAATTTGTAAAATGAAAATCTAACGGTGATTACGCTTAAAACCAGAATTTAATCTAGAGGATGTCATCTAGTGCTTTTGCGCCATCTTCTTTTGGGTTAAAAGAGTTCTCTACATTCTAGTGAAATAGGAAGAATTGTTTAACCTTACTTTTAGGTTAACTGAATATATGAAAAAATAATCGGGAAACATAAGCGGTAAATGTACAGTAAAACGTAACAAATTTATTAGTATCATTGCCGTTATTTAATAAAGGCAAATAATATATTGTAGTGAATGCACGATGTACAGTGCAGGCACAAGTAAATGAAAACCACATAAAAAGAAAAGAAGAAATCAAAAAGAAAATGAGATGAAATACACATTGGAAACAATGGAATCTGAAAACCGATGTTTACGGTTCGCATTCTAAACAATTTTCTTGTCTACTGGAATAATGTTTTGTCTTTTTGTTTGCTTTTTTATTAGTAATCCAAAACAGTAGAATAATATTTTATGTTTGGACAATGGACGTTTATTTTTTGTCTATTGAAAAAATCCAGTATAAATGAGACTCATTGTATGTATACCATGGCTCGAAGGGTACGATAGATATATGTATATATGTCGTTTATTTTCCTATGGCGATTTGGCTTTGGCCCGAAGTGTAAGAAATATTGTTGGACATTTTTTCGCAACTTTTGGATTTAATTCTTTAAGATAAAAGCAGTAATAAAATAATAATCGAAGTGGTTAAACAAGGGAATAAGGTAGAGATCAAATCTAATGTAGCGGAAGACAACCTACAAATTTCGGCTAAGCGCGTAAAGGAAATATTGTTTTTAAAACCGCTGATGGCAATGGCTTCGAAATTCAATTGATCTAGAAAACCACAATCAACAACTCAATTAATAGATGCAGAACAATTTTTTGCGTTCTATCGAATCTGATAATGAAACTAAGGTTTAACATTATTATTATAACAGCATGCAAAAGCAAATAGGCTAAAAGTTCTAGAATCAAAGAAAAACTCACACCGATGCTTGAAAAGCAGTAAAAGATTTCTCTGTGGTGCGCTTCTACCCTTATTTTAAATGCGCCCATGTAATTGTATTTTCTTTTAATTAAAAAATGATAACCCTTAATATTAAAATTATAAAAAAAAATGTCCAGTTTTTCATCAAAGTTTATACTGGTCAGGAAGTTAATTTAATTGCAAATTAAATGTATTTTTAAACATTTAAGCATTTATACACTTTGTACTGACCATTATCCACACGACATTATCCACACCATTTCATCCAATCTTCTCACCTAAATCTCCTAGAGTAACTTTCGTTAATTAAACTTCTATATGCATTTCACCTGTAGCGTTTACGATTAATTTTTCCATATTCGAAATCACAAGGCCGTCGTCAACTAATTTTCTCCACTTTGTGGCTTCACGGTTTTTCGTACCACCAAGGTAGGCACATTGTCAATTGCTTTAAATGGCTGGCATCCACAGTAGGCCTACATCATTGATAAAATTAGCTTAACGCTATAATAATATTTGAAATAATATACATATATAATAGCAATTAACTATGATAATACAATAACATAATAATAATATATTTATTATGGAAAAAATACAGTAATATGATATATACATAGATACATTGATATGTAATATAAATTTAAATAGGTGTAATTTAACATAAATATATAATATAAATATGTACGATATGTACACATAATATAGATAAATTTACAAATATATTGGCGGTGCGCAGATTGGCAGCATCTGTTGTGATGATCTGTGTCATGGAACACTATAATGATCACCGAATTTTCCTGTAAATAGTGGACGTAAACTTACCATTGACAGCAAGCAAATCTGCAGCAAATGTGTAATGTCCGCGAACAAAGTTCAGGGAGCGTGTCTGTCAGCCTGCTTTTGCCACGAATGTTAAAATAACGGCATGCCGTTATGCGACATCGCATGAATTTCTGTTTTGTTTTGCAAAGTAGCGGCTAGCCGTTAGGTATGTAAAAGAGAAGGGAGAGGGAAAAATGGTGCGAAGAATTTTGTTTTTTTTTCTTTTTTGGAGTTGGTTTTTGATTTTTTGTCAGAATAGAGTCAGAATAATCGACAAAGTAAACTAAAATAAATGGAAAAAGAAATTAAATAAATAGAAAAAAAAGAACTCAGCCAGAAATCATGAATAATAGAAGTGGTGTGAAAATGTCCGATCGCGAGAATTGGTGGGAAATAATGTACGTAAATTCATCCAGTATTGAGGAAAAAGACTATTTACTTTTGTTTACGAATTAAGTGAAGTATATTTTGGTTTTTGTAAAAAACGGAATGGCTGAACAATAAATTAACTTAAATTTTTGGTCGATGTATAAGGAAAGAATACCGTCAACAAAATCGCGAACGCAAAAAAATATAAAAGAAAAAAAAAGGAAAATTAAGTAAATAAAAGCCGTTGTGGAACGGATCGATTTGAGGAAAGAATATGTTTAGTTTTTGAATAAAAACACATGAATAAAAGAAAACTTTTGTTACATTAATTAAAATGAGAAGAGAGTTCGAAGGTTTCAAGTATAAAGAAATATAAATCCATTATCCGGGAAATAATTTACGTAAACACATGTAAGATTGCGAAAAATTTATTAGCATAAAAGGAGTACTTTTTCACATGTTGAATTGATAAAAATACATTTAATTAAGACCATGCTGTCCATGGAGTGTTCCTTAAAGTAAATTTGGAAAATAATACTGTAAGATTAGAAAGAAAAGAAAAAATAAATTTCATTACATTAGCTCAACTTGTAATTAAAGCCGAATAAGTAGTTGAATGAATGTATTGCGAACAAAATGATATTATGTATATATCCTTTTTAAATTTTTAAATAAAAATACTTTCAAAAAAAAAAAAGCAAAAGTGTTTGAGTTAATTTCTGGTACCAGACGTCCAACAAATGCCCTTAGGAGCCGCGTGTAAAGAAGAAGCCGCGTGAAGAGAAATGTGCGTAAAAATATTTTACAACAAAGCAAAGACAAAAAAGAAAGGAAGTAAAATCAAAGAAAGCTACCGATATATGAACTTCGGAATTCGCTTAGTTAATTTGGGTACCATATGAAGAAAGAGACGAGGAAAATCAAAAACTGTAAAACCAAATTCGGTAATGGCTACCGCGACAACGGTATTACCACCTAGTTTAGCAAGTTTTGTGTGGAAATTC